CACTGAATTCTTGTATTGAGTCGTGTCACAGTATTGTAGCATTCTGGTTTTGCCCCTAAACTCAAGGTGACCATTAGGTCTTGTTCTAAGAGTGTGACTTTTTGGTTGTACTATACACAGTTGGCCAAAATGTTCTTGGCAGAGAGCATTTTTTAAAATTTGTAAAAATAAATAAAAGACTACTAGTTTTAAGTTTTTTAAATCTGTAAAAAAAAGACTACTAGTTAATTGGTTCCATGTTAGCAAACCAATATTTAATCTTCATATAAATGGAGAAAATGTTCCTGAAGAATTATAGATGAGCTATTCAAAGAGATTAAGCAGTTATCACCCCCCAATTTATGTCTTCTCTGATCAGGATGGAATTTTAATTGAAAGTGCTATTTTTGTTCTGTTTCTTTTGTTTACAAAATAGGGTGTTACTGAATTGTAAAGGTATTCCAGGTCTGAGAACTATTTGTATTTGGTAGTTCTAAAGAAGGCATTAAATTTAGAAGAAAATCTGTTTGCTTCACTATTCTGAGTGATACCAAGGATAATTCTTGAACAAATAATCCTGAAACAGAAACTTAGGAAAAACGTGTAAATCACCAAATAATCATTAAAAAGTATCTTTAAAAAGTGAATCCATGTGACACCTTCCTATTTCATTAACTAGGGCAAAAGCTCTAGATATATTTAGCAGTTTTCAACCTTTTTTTTATCTCATGGCACACATAAAGTAATTACTAAAATTCTGCGGCACACCAAAAAATACATCTTGCCCATCTGACATAAAAGATAGGCATAAGTTTTATTCATTCACACTGGACAGCTATTGTGTTGGCTGTTGGCATTTTTTTATTTGACAATCTAAGAAAAAAGCAGTCAGTGCCCCTGTGTAAGCCGTCAGGTATTGCATGTTCTAAACATTCTTGCTGCAGCCCAGATGGAAATCACTGATTTATATGAATAATTACAGGTGATTTTCTCTTACAGCATTTTTAGAACAAAGTCCACCCTAAAAGTTAGAAGTTATAGAACAACTTTAGAAGGAATTTTAGTACCCTCTCACCTATAGTAAGTGGTAATTTTCCTTTCCACTTTTTAGCTCTGAGTTTGTGTATGTTTACTTTTAAGCAATTGTGATTAAGTAGTAGAATCATATTCTTATGTTTTTAAATGGCATTTTTCTGATTTTAAAACAATCTTTGTAGACTAGAACTTTAACAAGCATTTTACCCATTTTGATATATTTACATACTCTTCTTTTTAAGCTTTAAAGTTATTACTTTATATATAATAAAATGAGCCAATTTGAGTGTATTAATTGTGAGTTTTGTCAAATGTATGAAGCCATGTAATTGCTACCACCAGAATCTTGATATAAAACATTCCCATCACCTAAAAATTTCCTTTGTGGCCCTGGCCGGGTGGCTCAGCTAGTTGGAACATCATCCTGTACACCAAAAAGTGGCAGGTTTGATTCCCGGCCAGGGCACATACCCAGGTTGTGGGTTCGATCCCATCAGGCTGTGTATGGGAGACAACAGATCAATGTTTCTTTCATATCACTGTTTCTCTCACATCAGTGTTTCTCTCCCTCTCTCCAAGATCAGTATAAAAGAAAACATATCCTTTGGTGATGATTTTATAAAAAATTTCCCTGTTCCCCTTTGTAGTCAATCCCCCTGCGCCCCACTCTCCATTGGCAACTTGATCAGCTTTTGGTCACTAAGGTTGTTTTCTAGAATTGCAAATAAATGGAATCATATGTAGTCTGTGGCTGGCTTCTTTCCTTAAACAGTGGCTTTGAGATATTTGTCGTTGCATATATTAGTAGTTAGCTCCATTTTTATTGTTTAATAGTATTGCATTGTGTGGTTATACCAGTTTGTTTATTCATTTGCCAGTTGATGTGCCTTTGAGTTTTTTTATTTTTTGCTGTTACAAATAAAGCTGCTATGAACATGTGTGTGTATACAAGTCTGTATAGATATGTTTTTTTCTCTTTGGTAAGTGCCTGATTGGGATTATTGTGTCATATGGTGTGCTTAACTTTACAGGAAACTGCAAACTGATTTCCAAAGTGGCTGTACCATTATATACTCAACAGCAATGTGGGATGGTTCCCAAATCCTTGCCAGGTACCCATGTTTTTTGTTGTAATTCGTTGTTGCTTTAGTTATGTTAGCCTTTAGTGGATGTGGAATCATTTCTGTAATGATCAGTGATGAGCATCTGTCACGTGGCAGGCACTAAGCTCTGGCCTGCGTTACGTAAACTGCAAGTCCACCAAGCAGCCAGCTCTGCCTCGGCTGCTGCCAAAGCCCAGCGAATGGAGCAGCATTTCAGGATGGAGGATGGTGCTTCTCATCTCTCTCTTCCTTCACTAGCTGGCGTGGAAATCCAACAAAGGTCCCTTGGATTGGTACATCCTGTCACATGGCTGTATTTTAGCTACAAAGTATTTAGCATCTTAAGGATTTACCACAAGTGTGTAGGCAGAATTCCAAGATGACATCTGATCTCTGCTTCCTTGGTATTGGCAGCCAGCAAGGAAACGGACCTCAGTGCTCCCATCACCAGGAATTGAATGTGTGAATGACAGGCATGAGCTGGAAGGAAGACACCAAGCTCCAGCTGAGAAAGCCAGCCAGTACCACCTTCAGCCTGTCACCCTCTCAGCAGGGCACCCCGCCACGCCCCCGGACTTCTGGCTACAGAACTAACAGACACAAAATGAGTGTTGTCTTACAGAAATTTGTTACACAGCAAAAGAAAACTAATTATAGAAGTCACTCTTTGTCTTCCACCAAGATTCACAGGGTGGTATAATTTCACAAGCACGAAGGTTTAGATACTAGGTGGCCAAATGAATGACAAGATAGACTCCAAGAGTCAATTAGGGGACTGAACTGTTTCAGAGAAGCAGTTAGTCGTGCACTTCTGTGAAAACTAGAAGAAACAGGATGGCCCAGCTCTTAAATACACCCCAGCCTCCTGGGGTAGCTGACGCCAACCCGGATCCCAGGAGGGCAGACCTGTCCCCTTCAGTGTTAGCTACAGGTATCTTTCTAGTGGGACTCTGCTTTCGCCAAGAATTCAGCAAACTATATACTTAAATGAATACATCCTACAGTAAATTAAATCACAGCAGAACAAATGAACAAGTATATACAAAATCTTTATAAATTCACATATTTCGCCAAGAGTGTACAAGCAGTCTCAATTCATTGGGACAAAAATGACTATTTTTGTTCTCCACAGGTCACTGAATGAAACTGTACAATTCAGAGAGGCTGTTCTAGAAACTGAACTAGGTTGGAAAACGATATCGTGTCGTTAAGACAATTCACGGTTGAACTTACACTTTGCAAATGTGTTAAATAACCTGCTGTAAAACACTTTACCTAACACCGCTATTAACCTGCCTGCTAAATAAGGCTTTGATTTATAAGATGCACATATGTCCAAAACTGTTTAACATCTCTACTTATAAATTAATTCACAGGATTCGTGTTGTTGCTTTTTTAACTTCTGGGTATTAGCAAAAATAATACAAAATTATCCCTTTGCAAGCAACACATTTACCTTCCTAAAAGAAAACATCACATTAGATTAGATTACAACATGCTAGCCTCCTCCAAAATGTCTGTGACATCAAAGAGGAAGGATCCCCAGGCATCTCTTGCTGTGGACCACTGCTATGACTTCCAGACCTCAAAGAACTCAGGGCCTGGTGAGTGCTTTATACCCAGAAACGTATGCACAGGTCATGGAGAGCCATTGAGGGGCGAGAAGGCCCCTGCCCCCACCCTGGCTCACTGCTGAGGTTGCAGGATGCAGGGGGCATGAGCCAAGTACTACCTCCCACCCTGGGCTTCTGCCACTTGACTCCCAACTTGGGTAACTGGCTGGTAGACAACAGCTGGGGCATGTCAGAGAGGTCTGAGTCCTTGAACAATGTACCCTGTGCCAGGTTTTACCCCTTGTGGAAGAGACTGGAGAAAAGTGGGAACGTGGCCACCAGTAGCAGTCCCCTCTCCTCTCTGTCGTCTGAACCTCGTGCCCTCTTTATGAAACATCCTTTTTTTGCGCTACTGGAAGAAACAGACTCCAAACCTAGCAAGGGAGGCCTTCAGTGCAGATAAAATGGGTTCCCCTGAAGGACAAACTGTTATGTTTCAATTAAGTACCATGCTGGCTTCTTGATACCTTTGAAGGCCTAACTGTACTTTCCTTGAGAGTGTTACAGTGTGTTTCAGCCCATTTCCTATTTGGAAATGAATAGGAGTAGAAACAGTCAAAAACCTTGTGTTATTGAAGGCAAAGCAGCCTCACGTCAGTGTATCAGCTCATTTGGGATTATTTTTCAAAGTAGGAACCCTTCCGCACATATAGGAACCATCTAAATTCTATGTTGTTAGTGTAGCTGAGTTTCACTAGGCTATACTTATCTAAGACCGATGCTGGGTGAGATGGATTTTTTTTTAGTAAGGCCTCCGTACTTCCCTGCTAATGAGGAAACAGATGGCAAACATTCAAGTGTCAATTTCCCTTTCCTGGGAAGAGGTTTAGAAAAGCTTGCTCACCTTCAGAACTCTACCAGTTCCTTTTGAAATCCACATAGCATTCTATCAGATCTAAAAATGTAAGAGCAGGAAAAATAGTTGCAAAACTGGCATTCCTTAAACATACACAATCTTGCAAATGCTGGGAAAACTGTAAAGAAGGTACTTCCACAGGAACAGCGCACACTTGGTTAAGTGAGGATAGAGAATCAGGATACAGCATCTTCTGTCGATTGCTTTATGCCAGACACAGTGCAACTAGGAGCTGAGGCCGCCTGATCCCTGAATGGGCAGCTCAGCCCTGCTGTTTACCTGGGGCTCTGCAACAGGATCGCTGTGCACAGACTGAGCTTTGTGGACTATGCTCAGTAGCCAGTCTCCTGGGAGAGCAAAACCACCTGGCAAGCTGAAAGGCAAATGTTTTCCTTCTTTTAATTAAATCGGCCATGTTAAAATTAACTCGAAAACGAGCTGGAACCCCACCACCACCACGATGCAGTGCAAATCTCGCAGTCACGAACGGCCATCAGAGAGGCTACACGTTGGTCTCCAGTCCTAGCAAACGTCCCATTCTCTCCACATTCTGATCGATGGTCGCTTGACATGTTATCTCCTTGGCACATTCCATCGGAAACCAGCCCCTTTCTCCATCTCGCAGTCTCTCCCCTTCATACCAGCCTGCAGAGAAGAGCAGAGTCTGCATGAAGCAACAACACGCATTTGGACGAATCTTGACGTGTCCGGCTCCCACAAGGATATTGGGTACCACAGAGGATGACAGGTGGAGAGACAGGTGGAACAGAGGGCAAGGTTGCAGGGGGAATGAATGGCACACCAGGAACAGAACATGATCGGAGGCCCTGAGCTGAGCAGCTGTGACGGCATGGGGGCTTGGGCTGAACTGTGGAAGAGGATGCTTTGGGTAGGGCAGCAGGAAAATTAATTGTTTTTTTAAGTAAGAAAGGAAGAACTCTGGAGATGAGAACTAGGTCACTAGAGACCTGGGAAGAAAGGAAAACTCTTCACAGTTCCTTTCGAATAACGAACCACGTGACTGCGTCCCAATTCAGGAACACGTGAAAGCCATACAGTGTGGACGAGGGAGAGGCTGGTGCGTGTGAGAAAAGCGAAGGGATATGGACTCTGAACATTGATAACAGAAAGGAGGCTCCCTGGTTCTTCACACCCTGACTGCTGGACCCCCAGTGCCCCGTGAGAACACTTCACTCACCATCGCCGACACGCTGATAAATGAGGACCACGTCAGCCACCTGCAGGGAGAGTTCGTCGGGCTGCTTGGCGGTAAATGACCGAATGATTTCTACCTGGGTCAGTGCTGAGGAGGAAAGGAACGCACTGAGCTTCCAGTAGCAGAGCCAAAACGGATCAGGTGCAAATCAACAGTGGACTCAGTCTTTCCGTGCGACTCAGGGCCAGCAAGGACAGAAACAAGTCTGGCTTCTTTTAAGAAGCAGACAGTCTTTTCCAAGAGCTCTCATACAGGGCTAAGAGCTTCGTAACTTTAGCTCAGCATCAGGAGAGGCCTTTTATGATGTATGAATCCCCTCAATAACAATCTTGACCAGGAGTCATGAGTCATGTCACACAATAGAGCAGAAAACAGCCATTACGTGTTGGGGGACTGAGACACGACAGGTGCACCGATGGTGAAAACCCCAGTACAGCCACTTCTCAGGTTTTATACACGGTGCTTCCCCAGCCCACCAGGGGCAGCACATGGAAGCTGCCAAAGACAATTAGAAATAAAAAGATCTCCGACCAAAAGTCAAAAAACATTTCGGACTTTCCCCGTTATGCTAAATCGTAATAAAACCATTAACTTCAGTGACGTGGTACTGACTAATGAGACTTCTTCATTCGTTTTTGAACACAGAACTTGATTCTAGGAACTTTTCATGCCAATCACTTTCGCTGTGGCTCTGAGCTTAAATCTGTGATTTCTGAGTGTCCAGGACAAGCAGTTTTGTTGCCCTTACTCTCTGGATCTGACCTTCCAGCTAGAACCTTCCAGAGAAGTGTAACGTCAGCATTGCGGTGCTGATACACCACCTTGGACCACACCAGGTCCTGGTTCTCTAGGAGGAAATACTTTGTGTTACTATTATCACTTTAATTTTTTTTAAAAAGGTCAAAATTATTAGTAAAGCAATTTTCTTTGTTAAAAATACATTTCAACTTAGATTTAGACTGTCAGTGTGGCTTAAACATGCAGCCAATGACCTTAAGCCACAACTAAAAATGTAAGATCCTCACAGTCTAAGCAGGGCTTTCAATGTATATTACTTAGCTCCGTCCTCACAATAACCTTGTGGTGTATATATGTCAAGATGCACCTGACTTGCAGACGGTTAAACAGGCTCCACATGGATATGCAACAGTTTACCACGTTTATGTAACAAAGAACTGCACCACCCATTTGGATTCAGACCCTGTGACTTCCAAAGCAGGGATCACCTAGTTCTGAGGCAGGGCAGCAGGAAGGAAACCTTGGGGGACCGTTCGTACCCCAGCGTCCAGCAGGGGGCAGAGCCCCTCCACGGTCCGTCTTTCAGAGCAGACAGCCCAGGAGTTACTTACAGGTTCGGTCTGGAGGCTGCTTCCCGCGGCTGTGTCCCAGGGCGGTTATCCAGCGGGCTCGCTCGCTCCTAAACACAGGCACAGCCGTTAGAGATTCAAGGTGTTCAGACACGGAAGGGAGTATGTCCCAGAATGCAAAGCCATTACCCCCCAAAACGGGAGAGATTATCTAGCGAGCTATGGGACTGCCCTTCAAAACAAGGATAAGAGTTTTAAAATGATAATCTGGGACACTTAAAATAGGCTAAAAACTACATTGTCAAATGATTCTGAATGAATTTGGCTAGCTATTGATTTAGTGGAATTTCTCACACAGCAGTTGAACATTTAATAAAGAGCTAAGTACATTACACAGTGCAATCAAAAAAAGATGTTCGGTACACTCATAATCTTATGTTTAACATTTCAAAAAAGTAAACTTCCTTAAAAAAAAATCCTAGTAAATCAGTCTCTCTCCACATCCTCTCCTTCCCCTCCCCCACTCAAATATTTCAGAAAAGATGAGAAACTTGACATATTTAAAGTTGCTTTGTTCCCCGTATAACTAGTATTTCCAAATATGAGCTTCATTCAAATAGAAAAATTTTGACCTTTTTTTTAGGCTGTTCTCAAATGCTTAAAATGGTTTAATAAGTACAGCCAAAAATATTTCAAGGATAAAACCAACCAAGATTTTTTCTACAATATTAAGCTATAATTAAACAAAATAAGATAATTATCTAACTAAAGGATCAAAAGTTTCAGACAAACAAGCACTACTCTATAATACAATTTATGACCTGGAAAAGTAAAATATTGGGACTGCAATGAAATGAATCACACACACGTACACACTTTGAAATTTCTTAAGTGGCATTTATTAAGTCCATATATATGGCGGGCACAACACTTGATATCCATATTTCACGTAATCTTCCCAAAAGCCCAAGAGAAGGAAGACAAGGCCACAGGTAAGTTCTAACATCCACAATTCCAACCAAGGTCAAGTTCTACTAGGGCCACTCTACCTTCGTACCTTCTTTATGCCCAGTACCTGAGAAACCTTTTTTCTCTCTCCCATAATGCCTTGCACCTAAAAGATGCCTCTCACTGTCACCCCATCTCCACCCGTGTGCACCCATCCTCCCTCCAGACAGCAGACGTCTTCCGGCGCTGGGACACCTTTCTTTTTTTTTTTTTTAATCCTCACCGAGGACATTTTTCCATTTTTTGTTCAGGTAGAGTGGGAGGGAGAGAGAGGAACAGAGAGAGAGAAACATCAACGTGAAAGGAACACATCGAGTGGCTGCCACCCGCACAACCGACCAGGGCCGGGGACAAACTGCAACCGAGGTACGTGCCCTTAGCGGGAACCTAACCCGGGTCTCTCAGGACCGCAGGCCAACGCTCTAACCGCTGAGCCAAACCGGCCAGGGCTGGGACAGCTTTCTTATTGGCTCGTCTCACTCTCAAGTACGACCTTCCCAACCTCCGTTTTTGAGCTAGACCTACTCGTAATCACTATTTAAAACTTTTAAATGGAAGAACATAAAATAAACGCTGCCGTGAGCTCACGTGTAAACAGCTCTGAGACTGTTTACCCAGGTACACCCAGGTACACATGCCGCGAGGTCGGGAGGTATGCACCAGGAGGCGCGCTCTCGTCCCTTTGCGATCAATAGCCTCCCGCCAAGGTAACCACTGCCTGATTTCCACCATCATCGACTAGTCTTGCCTATCTGGTTCTTGATGAACATGGAATCCTCCGTTGTGTCCACTTTTATACCCGACTTCTTTTGTTCAACACATGCACTCCGTATTGAAAACACAAGCCTCGCCTCCTCCAGGCAGCCTCCCCTGATGTGTGAACACATACTCTGTCCCCATCCCCGTCCGACGGTCCTGCCCCACACCCCTCTCTGCACCTCCTGGCCACCCACAGCCTCATGAAGGCAGGCGTGTCGTCTGTGAGGTTCACCGCCTGGCACTGATGGGGACCCGGCCAGCAGCGGCTGGCCCAGGAAATCGGTGCCCTCCTCTCGCACTGACGCCCCATTCACTGGCTGGCTTGTCTCCTCACCAGGCCATACCCTCCCGGAGGCCGGGACCTGGGTCTTGTTCTAAACGGTTTTAGGCAGCAATTCTGATCCAGACACGGTACTTTGTTGTATTTTCAAGTATAATCTAGTCCTTACAACCATCTTGGAAGAAACTGCGCGATTTCCCCGCTCCCAGAAGACCAGGCTGACGCGTGGAGCGCACAGAGCCAGCTCCCGCAAACCGGCCGGCGGAGCAGTCGGTGCAGTCGGTGCAGTCGCAACGCGAGGCCAGGGGGCGCGGCAGCCACCAGGTGTGGTTCCCGCAGCGCTTCCTAATAATGAGAGAAGGCAGGAGGCGGGGAAACAGCAGGTTGCTGAAAGACAGACTTCTTTACAAGAACGGGAGGCTGGGCCGGTCGAGCTGGTGTGCCAAGTAGTAAACACACGATTTAAACAGCAACGCGTGACGCCGTCTTGCTTTGAAATCTTGGTCACTCCTAACGCGGGGCAAAGGGCTTCAGGGTGGTTCTATCAGGAACGACTGAAGCACAATTTCCTTTCAAATAATCCAAGCAAACACATCTCTGGTATCATCTCTTTGTTGGGTAAGATCTGTTTTTCTTTAATCAGGTTAACTGGAAGTTGCAAAGTACAGAGGAAACTGAAAACGAAATGTCACTGGTGGAAGGCCCCCCCTCCTCCCTGTGCCACGTCAAGCCAGGCTTCTCTGCGGCACACACCACGCTGGGCCCACGGCCCCTTCTGCTGCCTGCAGTCCTCCCGTAAGGCTTCCCTGGCACGGCCCTGGTGTCGAGTGGCCAGTTTCAGCAGTGGCCTCCCCCTGCAGCTAGTTTCCAGATGAAATCTTTCCCTCCTGTGGCATGCTGCCTGATGCTAATGGCATCTCTCAGACACGGCGGCCCCTCACAGGGACTCCAGAGGACAGAACAAGACACTCCTTGTTGCCTTCGCTGAAAGGGGCCCCTTCTTGAAATGACTTCAATTGACTGGATGCTGTCAGAACCCCACGACCTCCCCCGGGGCCTCCCAGAGCCTGCCAAGGAGCCCCCCCACCAGCTAGCAGAAAGCACAGCCTCTCAGGCAGGGAGGAGACACGGGACAAAGACAGAATTCTAAGAACAAGAACAACCAGGGCCCGGACATACTCATTATTAAATTTAGATATCAAGTCTGGGGCTCACTCCAGACAGCTATTTTCTCTGGGGACAGTATGAAACAATCATCGTGAAGTCACAGTGCACCCCACACCCAGTTCACAGACTTAAAAAATTTTTTTTCTTTCTTTATTGATTTTAGAGAGAGGAAGGGAGAGGGAGAGAGAGAGAGAAACATCGATGAGAGAGAACATCAACTGGCCGCCTCCTGCATGCCCCCCACTGGGGATTGTGTCCTGTGGGCATGTGTCCTGACCGGGAATCGAACAAGCGACCTTTCGGTGCGTGGGTCGCTGCTCAACCACTGAGCCACACCACCCGGGCAGTTCAGACTCTTCCCTTTGCCCAAAGTGAGAGAATAACAGGGCTGCCCTGGCCTCGACCTGGGCATATCAAGTTCTAAGACCCTCCGACCACGCCTGCTTCCACTCGCTGGGCGCCCACCTGCGCCAGGCTGAGGCTGCCAGGGGCCTGCCATGGCCCGTGCTCTTCACAGCGCCAGCAGGAAGCAGCACACACACTCCAACCCTCAGCTCAGCACACGCCCAGGGGCAGGAAGACTGAGTTGGGGAGAGACGCCTTCAACGTAAATATCTGTGAACACCCTCCGTTCAAAACCCCCCATTCTGTCTGCGAGGCGTGAATGATGCAATGTCCCCAGGAGGCGTTGGCTGTGAGGGCACCTCAGCCTGCCTCGCACATAATTCATTAAAAACACGGGTGCTTTCAACTCCATTGCACAGAGGCCGACGAGACGGCCAGGTCGGACGTCTCCTCGAACACCAGGCATCTTCTAGGACAGACAGACACATACTGAGAAAGTGGGAAGTGTGCTTTGAAACAAAGAGGCAGGGCTGCGGATGAGGCTGAACCTAACGGAGCACCTGCCACGGGCTTCGCCCTACCGGGTCTTCCTGACCCTTCCATAGAAGCAGAGGCCAGCGGCTGCCGAACCTCCTTGTACCCTTACAATGCCAGACACGGGTGTCCTCACGGCCCACGAATGTGCCTGTGGTGTCTTTGGAAGTTCCTGTGCCCACGGCCTTTGGTAAAAAGTCCTCCAAGCCTTCATAACGAGTAGGGTGGTGGAGACATTGTTTCTATGCATTTTGACACTTCATTCAACTAGCTGAGTTCAATAAACTGTTCCATAAAAGGAAACCCATGGGGTAAAGAACTATCGCCATGATGCTGTGTGACCGAGCCAATAAAACTGGACTCCAGAGCAAAATAAATACCCTAGCCCACTAAAGAGTTCTGAAATTCAGTCTTTCGTGACGTGCAGTAAAGTTCATTAAATATTTCTTGTTTATCATATCTAACAGCTCCCGAGGCCTGCTCTGGTCCAGAATCCCGGCTTAACCTCGGCGGGTCAGTTCTCTGTGTCCTTCATAATAAAAGACCTGTACTACCGCCGCCCTCCTGTTTCACTGGGGTCGGTAACAAGGGTCACAAAATGCCAAGCATTTTGATGGACACTGTACAAGTCAAAGATCATTACTGGGCATGGATTCCAGATTCAACAAGGAGAAAACACTGCCACGTATACTAAACATGTTTTCCATGTAAACTGTCATCTCTATATCGGGAATTTTTCTGAAAGGGCGTATTAAGAGTATGTCGGACATACCCTTTAACATTTTATTCCATCCTATTTACTTCCTGCTGTTAATTAAATCAACAGAAGCAGGAAGAGCGCGAGGAACTGCGGCCAACAATGAGCATTCGTCGGCGGGCCCAGGAGTGGGCCCTCCGCACGGCTGACAGGCCCGCCACCTTCATTAGGCTCTGCTGACACACGCTGGGAAGGCTCTCTGACTCCAGTGGAAGGTGGTTATATCCAGAGCCAGATCCAATGGGGGAGAAAGTTTGCCT